AATTCTATGTTTAATAAAAGAACAAAACATATTGTAGTAGATTATCTCGCCGTTTGTCCGCAAGCTCATTGTACGGTTATTAATACCATTATATGGAAACGAGTGACCTATTTGTAGATGGGTTCACCAGGATTCTACGATCTACTTAGTTTCACAAACTCTTGAACAAGTTTGGATCCATTAATCTTTTGGGTTCCGCTTGAGGTGTTGGATTGCAAAATATTCTATGAATTTTCTAACATAGATTGTAATAGATAGATTATTTTCCTTTTCAACTCATATGATTTCCTACATGTATTCTATATTATATCAATACAATAAAAAAAATATAGTGATTCTTCATCAAAAGATTTCTTTACTTTTTATTTTATTTTATTCAATTTTAAGTTTGATAAATAATTATAATTTATAAATTTATTATTCTTTATTTTTTATTAAAATTTTTAACTAAAGTTAATTAAAAATAATAATTTGGTCTGAATTGCTCCAACTAAATTTAGTCTAATATTCTAAACTTACTATTTTCTTTTTGTTTTTTCGCTTTTATACAGAACGAACTTACTGGATTATTTCAACCCATTGTTGAGTATTAAATAAAAAAAAAAAAAAAAAAAAAAACTTCAATTCCGACGTCACGAATCATCTATTAAAATTAATAATCAGACTGAATATCTGAAATTTGCACACGCCTTCCACGTGGCCACATACGTGTCAGGGCACTGGCAATTTCTCTGGGCATCTCGAAGCATCTGACACCACGTGTCACCCTCAACCTCGAACCTTAATTCCCCATAAACGCCACTTCTGCTCTCCAAAACCCAACATCCCTCATCCCGAACCCATCACAGAAGCTTTGCAAATTTCAATAAGCCATGGCAAATCCAGCCGACGAGTTCAGAATTGTGTCACCCGCAATAGACCACGAAGGGAAGTTGCCTAGACAGTACACCCAAGAGGGTCAGGGTGCTAAAAAAAACATATCGCCACCCCTGGAATGGTACAACGTGCCAGAGGGGACCAAGACCCTGGCTCTTGTGGTTCAGGACATCGATGCGCCCGACCGCGATGGTCCGATCGTCCCATGGACTCACTGGGTTGTGGTTAACATACCACCTGCCATAAAGGGCTTGCCTGAGGGATTTTCCGGGAAAGGGGAGGAGGTGGGTGGTGAGTACGCCGGGATCAAAGAAGGCAACAATGATTGGAAAATCCCCGGGTGGCGTGGACCAAAGTTGCCCAGTCATGGCCACCGGTTCGAATTTAAGCTGTACGCGTTGGATGATGAGGTGCGCCTTGGAAATAAGGTAATCATACACGTGAATGCATGTATGCACCATTTTTGTAAAATACTTAAAATATAGTTGGATATAAAGGTTGAGCCTGATAAAGAGTTTGAATAATGGGATTGGTATGGTGGAATGCAGGTGACGAGGGATAAGCTGTTGGAGGCAATCGAAGGACACGTGCTTGGGGAAGCACTTTTGATGGCAATATTTTGATCAATCAGCAAAATATTGATCAAAATTAGTGTATGAGTGCTTTTTATTATGTAAGAATTAAGATTGAGTAGGTTTTCTTTTCCAACATAAAGATTTACATATGTATGTTTGTATGTATGTATATATATATATATAAACGAATAGATATTTATAATGTGCTACATACACCCAGATAAAATCTGTGATAAATCATAAATGGTAAAATAGACTATCTGTAACGTTACTATAAAATTAAAAGAGGGCTGTCGGCAGCTAAATTGAAGATCTTATGTACAAACATTCTTTTAGTTTTACAAAATTAAACATATATTTGTTAGAAACAACAATTTATAAGGTAAGGAAACTCTAAAATCTAAAAAATAATAATTTATAATTTAAGGAGAGTTTATTAAGAAGTTTAAAAATGATAATTTGAAATTTTTTTAGAGAGTTATAATTTATATTTGAAAATTTTAAAGTAATGACTTCTCTTTATATTAAATGTTATAGAATAGACAAAGTGAATTTTGAATGTTAAAGCTTAGAGAAATGACAAATGAGAGGGCAGGATGTAACGTAAATTTAAAGCATAAAATAATTTGTAATCTCAAAATAAAACCTCAGCAATTCTGATGTTTTCCATACGTTTGTACTAAAATGTTTGGAATCAGGAAAAACGACATCGTTTAGTTCAAGTGTCAATACGGCGCCGTTGCATTTGGGAACATGACAACTGTATCTTTGCGATATCGTCGTCGTCTCAAAAAGTGTTCTTGAGTGGAGCACAGCCTATATAACTTCTCCGAGAGGTCAGAAACTCAACGTCAGTTATAAGCTCGCGCACAGTACTTTCGACAAACCCCTGTCCTTCGATTACTCTAGCGGCAAAGTAAATCGCTAGTCAAACATAAATTCTTCCTTCCTTCAGATTCCCTCCTCAAGTTCTCGACGCACCTCTTCCTTCGTCTTTCTGAGAACATCTTGTTGATCGCCTCTGATTTCTTTGATTTTTTGAGTCGAGGTCCATGAACAATTTAAGTGGGAAAAATGAGGAGGCCGAGTGGGAGGTGAGGCCAGGTGGCATGCTCGTACAGAGAAGAGAAGAGAATGGACATGATCACCAAAACCATCATCATCGTCATCATCATCATGAAGCGGCTGCTAGTGGATCCACGATCAAAATCAACGTCTCTCATGGTCCTGCTCAGCATGAGGTCTCTCTTCCTGCGAACTCCACTTTCGGTAACTCTTCAATTTTATTAGAAGTTGTAGAATTTATCTTGTTCGAAACCCGAAATACTTCCTGCTACTGCACTTGTTTATTGTTAATTCCTCATGAGGCTTGAACGGCTTGTCCATTATTATATCCGAATTTTGGCACATATCTGGGTACCGATACGCGAGTGTTTCAATTTCTTAGTTGGCGTTTCTAGGGTTTCGCTGTTTGTTTCTACTGCCTTGTCCAATCCTTGTTTATTGTTAATACTTTCTGGTGAAATTGTTGTTTCTCTGTTTTTCGTTTATTTTCCGAGAAATTTTATTGCAAGCCAAGAATTTGGGTTTTTGGATATTCTAGAAACGATGATCAAGCAAGTAACAAACATCAGTTGTGCGAGTATACTCTCAGGTTAATCATATAAGGGCTTAGTTGTTTTAGGTTAATTTCTTTCTGGAGGCATTACGTCATGGTTCCTTCGAAAATTTTCGTTCTGTCTATTCTTTTCCTTTACCTAAAGGCCTTCTAGGGGGAGTACATGTCTTGAGACAAAGAGAAAGATGTAGCTCGAATCCCATTCCATGTGGTGCCAAAAGGCCCTTTGTGCCCCTTGAGCCCGAAACTCGGGCCAAATTCTTTTCTATTTTGTTACAACGATTAAGAGTAATTTAAACTCATATAAACTATGTGCTTCTCCTTTGCTTCCTTCATAACAGGGGATGTGAAGAAAGTTATTGCACAAAAAACTGGGTTGGAGCCCGGAGTGCAGAAAATCTTGTTCCGGGGACAAGAGAAAGAAGACAATGAGGAGTTGCATACAGCTGGTGTGAAGGATAAGTCAAAAGTCTTGCTCTTGAAGGACCCAGAAAGTAAAGAGAAGAATGTTGAGCATTCAGAGGAAAGTGAAGCAAGGTCAAAGGCTCTTGCTGCTGTCGCTGGAGTGAGGGAAGAGATTGATAAACTCTCTGAAAGGGTGAGTCCGTGTACTGTATGTCTATTTCCAAAAACGCACATTTCTATTGAGGCTCATTTTGATTGTTGGTTTTATTAGGTTGCTGCCCTGGAAGTGGCTGTCAATAGTGGCACGAAGGTTGTGAATGAGGAATTTGATATGTCGGCAGAGTTGCTCATGAGACAATTGTTGAAACTGGATAGCATTGAAGCTGAAGGAGAAGCAAAAATGCAGAGAAAGGCTGAGGTAAGTATTCTGCATTGTAAAGGAAGGTTATATGCTGGTTCCTTTCTCTAAATGGTTTCTATGCTTTCAACCAGTTTTAATTAAAAAAAAAGCAAACAAACAAACAAACCATTTCACATATGCAAGTAGGTCGAAGGGATTTATTAATTGTTATTTCTTTAAGGAACTTAATCTGAATGAGGTGTCAGTGCATTTTATTGAATTTGTTAGTGGAATCCTGTTTTTGAATAAACTGATGTTGGATAATGTTGTTACTAGCATGTTTGATGAAATTCCCATGGAAGAACTGGAGAGAAAGTTGTCCCAAGTTATCTCTGTACTCGATGTTTGTTTTGTAGGCTGGAGATTAGGAGTGGAAAATTATGCAGGTCATGAGATATGTTACTGGAAATGTTGACAAACAGTTAATGTGCATCAGCATTTCTATTATATCATGTAGGCAGTGAATCTTATGCAGGATATCGATGAAGCATTAAGAGGGGAAGGATCCCTGTTTATCTTCTTGTAAACAAGTTATTAATAAGAGATCAATGCCTTTCATATTCAACTTTCCTTGGGCTCTTTCTTATGATTCCACTCATATCAGAGCCTTATATGTTTTCTAAAGTGACTGGAGGCTTCTTTAGCAGATACCAATGCTTATTTAGAATACCTAGTTTAGTGACTTGTTTATTCTGACTCTGCCACTATGACTCATCTCTATATAACTACAGTATGCACCATAAACTTACCCATTACTCCCGCTCCCAGCCCTCAGAAGCTTATCCAGAACATTTTCCTCTCCCAAAAGCAGTACTAGCTTGATGCTATGCGCTGGTTTCACCTGGGCATAGAAGTTGGCTTTCCATAAGGTGTTGTGCTCCTTTATGGTCTATTTGTGTCTTTGAAGGATGTGATTATGAAAGTGAAATGAGCTTTCACACATATCTTTTAGCTATTGGCTTTTAGTAGAGGCAAATATTCCACTTCATTGTTTGATATTGTTGCGTCATATTATTGCATCTTATTTTGTTCTCTAATTAAAATAGAAGAGCCTTTTATATTAATAGACCGGGCATATGATCCTCTACTGGCTAATCTGGACAGCATGGTTTTTATACTACTAAATTTTGATTTGCAAATACATTTCGAGGCAGTATGCAGTTGCTAGATGTGTCTCTTTCAACTTATAGCTCTCTACCTTATAGGTATGTCGTGTTCAGAGTTTCCATGACACCCTGGATAATCTAAAGGCCAGAAATTCAAACCCAGTTATCAACAGTAGCAAGACTGTGTCATTGACTACCAAATGGGAGACTTTTGAATCTGGAATGGGAAGCTTGGAGGCACCTCCCCCGGCAACAACTTCAACGAAGGTGACTCAGGATTGGGAGCAGTTTGATTAGACTAATGTCTTGTGTAATTCTGGTTGTATGATTGTTTGGTGCATAAAATATATACCATTCACCATACTGAAAATCATATATTCTTCTGATAGCAGAATGATATTTTGCTTAAACGGCGCTGCATTTTGCGCCAAGGATGTAGAAATTAATTTTTTATTTATTAGCGGCATGGTTTAAAATCCAATTAATGCTTGTCATTCTTGCATTTATTACCTGTTCAATTTGGTTGGTGAGTGAAAGAAATGGATGTCTTGTCCTCGTAAATCAAACTTTTATGTTCTTGGCTTTTATAATCACCAATCACCATTGGTGGAAAATTTCCCTTTTTCTTGACTTGCTGAACAACAGGCTGCTATTTCTTCAAGGCTTGAATTCTGATCGTGCCTTCAACTTGTTCATATGCATATGAAGGGGGTTATAGGTGGTTTAATGAGTAGGAAATAGGTCATACATCCTAGGCTTCACATTGCTTCATGCTGTTGCTTCAGAAGTTGAAGTCGTCAGCGTCTTTGTGAATAGTGGATTTAAGAGATTAGATTTGATGGAGGCAGAGTTAAAAAAGTCAGGTTTTTAAATTATAAGAAGTTAAATATGGTTTCCATTGTCAAATCAAGAATTCTTGTCAAATACTCGTAAGATTATGATATCTGATTATATATATATATATATATATTGTTGCTTCAAATAAATAAAAAAGGAATTAGCAAAATTTGGGTAATTACACAAATTAAGGAGGGGTTCACAGGGAGTTAATTGAAATTGTGTTGGGTTTCAGACTGTGTTTTTAGGTACTAAATGTGTTTCTGGAATAATATTATCAGAACAGAGTGTATATAGATTCAAATATATGAATTTAGAAACATCATCTTATGAGTTTTGAGGACCTGAAAACATCATTTTTAACAACTGTTACATAATCATCTATTTTTGTTGACCCTGTCATGTTTATAGGAAGCAAACAAAAAAAAAAAAAAAAAAAGAATGCTCAACAAAATTACCATATATAGAAATAGAGACTTTATGAGATATATAGTATTATGTACTCTAAATTCTAATTTCTTTTGATATTAGAAGGATAACCAAGAGAGATGCATGTTGTGGCTCTGGGATCAAACTTTGAACAGATGGAAATCATGAGTAGAGAGAAGCATAATAATATAAACATCAAATTTGGGAGGGGCATGAAATAGAAGGTCAAATGGTGCTTTGTTGTTGTTGATGACAGGAGAAGATATTCGGTTAATCAAAAATACACTGCATGGAGGACACAATCTGTCTGTAACTTCATTTGGTAGGTGAGCTTGGAATCTCAAGGATCTTGCTACATTTGATACTTTCCTTCCACCATGCTGTATTGAATAAATTTTGTAGATAACTTTTCTCGCTGCAAAGCAAATTTTTTTCCATTATCAGATTTAATGCACTTTATTTTCTTATTAAATTGCATCTATACGAATGTAAAAAAAAAAAAAAAAAAAAAAACTTTAATGAAAATAACTAAAGTGTATGATTTTTTGTCCTAAAAAACGGTAAAAAAAATAATGATGTCCATACAAGAATGCAGTTGAGATAGAATCCCAAATATCAAAATAGATTAAACCAAAATAGTGCTCACTTTTTGAGCTGCTTATAGGTAAAAAGTAATCTCTTTTGTTTAGCTAAATGATATGTATCACAAATGAAAGATGAACAAGGAATAATAGTGTTGTCAATTTGATGAAGTATTTCAAGTCTTGGTGAAGAAGGATGATTAAGAGTTTGATTATTCACAACATTAGAAAAATCAATAGAACTAGCTGAACTTTGTATAGTTACATAACCAAGAGTAAGAACATTATTGGTCCATTGAGTATTGAAGAAGATATAATTCATGCTTTTCCTTCGCTAAAATAATCATATTCTACTCTTGAGTTTCCTAAATAAAATAATATTTTTCATTGAAAACTAGGCAATATAGAGATTTTTTATAGTAATTTTGATGTGAGAATGGACATGGATCATAAAAGGGACGACCAAGAGAAGATGAGTGGCAGCCAAGAAAAGAATGATGAAGAAGATATCTCAATGCCAAATGGGCCCATTATAAGGGAGATAGTTAAAAGATTAGAAGAAGCCTTTTAACTATTTGTCCAAACATGGATCAATGAGGAGGATGAGCTTGGACCCACTAAAGAAGTCCAAGAAAAGAAGACAATGAGGCCATTAACCTAACGGTATAATGGTATATACAATTCACTCCAAGTGCAAGAGAAAAACAACTAAAAAAAGGGAAAGAAATTTCCCTTAGGGGAGGAGAATCAACCAAAAAGGGAAGATGCTCCTAAAACTGCAAGTTGACTGAAAAAAGAGGAGAACTCATTTAAGAGCCAAATCTCACAGTTTAGGACATAAATGATGACCATCTTGCTCTTTTAATGGCCAACCCTAATTTTTTAATTTTTTTCCACCTAAATCAATCCCTATTGATTAAGATCTCTTCTATTTAAAAAAGGAAATAATAACTATCATATTTTAAAAAGTAATCCTCTTAATTTTGTTATTTTTCCTATTATGTTTTAGATTTATTTTTCTACATAATTTTGTCATTAATTTAGGAAATTATTTTTCTTATTATTTACATTACCTACACTATAAATAGACATTTAATTTAAAGTTATAGGCATTCAAAAATTTTATAACAATAAAATTCAAGTTTTTTTATTTTAAGCTTTCAACCTTTCAAGAGTGAGTGAGTGGGTCTTTGACCGAATTGTTGTACTAAGAATTAGAATCACTTATCGAGGTAAGTCTCGTGGTGTTTTTTTCATTCTACTTCTTTGTTTCTTTCTTTATAACCTTGGTTTTTCTCCCCTGTCGAGTGTGGGTCAAGCAGGGAGTATTTACTTAAGGTTTTGAGTTTTTAGTTGCTGATGTATATGGAGAATTTTGAATTGCATTGTCGATCCCAATTCTGCATTAGTTGGTATCAGAGCTTAGATTTCGGTAAATCTACTCTCTTTTTAATTTATTGTTTGAATTCGATTTATATTAAATTACCACTGATTGCATAAGGTGCTAATTCTTTCAATTATTATAAAAGAATTTTAAATTCCATTATTACAATACAAAAAATATTATGTGAAAAAGAACTATGTGAATAAAAAGTCCAGAAAGATCGACTGCCCTCAAGGAAGGCGAATCGGCCACAAAAGAGCTTAGAAGCTTGGTTAAAAAAAATATCATTCAAGCCACCAACAAGCAAGGTCGCACATTAACGATAAATTCCAAAATTTTAAAAAGTGCTTGATTTCCCTTTGTTTCCAATTTTTGTATTTTATTTATTTATTTATTTTTGCTGTATTGCATTCAAACATCTTGCAATAATATCTACATAACAGAAATTCAGGTAAGTTTTAGAGTGTAGCCCTCCTATGGGTAGAATAATTAGGTATAATATTCTGGTTATGTCCATATGGATTAATCATATCCTTGACGCTTTAAGTCTAGAATTGTCTTTTTCTACTCCTATTTTCATTCTTTCTTAAGTGCTCTAATTCCATTATACATCTAAGTGGTTAATTGTATCTTAACACTTAGCAATAAACATAAAGACATCATATATTTTTCTTATGTGTCCTTGCTTTTAAACTTCTAGAGAACAAGCTCTCTTTTAGGATTTTTTACAGAGTCTTAAAAATAACCTTACTTATCCTTATTCAAGAGATCCAATTCTAATAACTTTACGAAAGAAGACAGGAGAGATAAACACGAGTAACTGTAAGAGTGATTTCTTTTCTTTTTCTATTAACATCTTTTTAAAGATATATCATAGCCTATTGAAGCTAACCGACCTATGACCTTAGAAAAACGTATGGAGGTTAGGATGGATGACATGTACGATAGACTGAACTTACTATTAAAGGTATAACAATAAGGATGGATGAGAGAAATAGAGGAAGGAACTGTAGCCATCCGTAATGCCAACACACCCAGGATGATGATGAGTCCTACGAGCACAATAGTGAAGTCGATAAAAGAGGAGTCTGAAGGGAAAATGTTGACATCATATCAATCGAGGTGCAGATACCCCGTTTAGAGTAATGATGCAAAGATCTACCTCTTGTGGGAATGGAGGGTAAAGTTGATTTTTGATTGCTGCAATTGTGGTGAAGCTAAAAAAGTAAAGTTAGCAACAGTCGAGTTCATAGATCATGCACTTTTTTGGTGGGATCAAGTGACTGCCCTCAGGAGAAGAGAAAGAGACTAACATGTATCCACCTAGAGATAGATGAAATCTATAACGAAAAAGAGGTTTATCCCATCTTATTATAAAAGAAAATTGCACTAGAAGCTCCAAAGGTTGACTCAGGGATCCTTATTTATGGAAGATTACTATAAGGAGATAAAAATGACAATGATCACGCCATAATTTATGAGAGTCTAAAAGCCATCATGGCTAGATTTCTGAGTGACCTGAACATAGAGATTACCCAATGCTGTGGAACTACATAACTACATAGATATGGATGAGATAGTACAAATGACTATAAAAATTGAGAGACAACTGAAGTATAGAGGGTTCTTCCAGCAGTAAATTCTTAGTTTACCTCTCAGTTTAGTTCCAGATTACCCAAAAAAAAGGAGAGAAAGAGATTTAAATGAAGGAGGGACAAACCTAACTCTACTAATGTAAAGGTAACCTTAAATGACCTATTATTACTTAAAAATAAAATTATATTTAGTGTTTTAGGTGCCTTCTGGACACATCGCTTCGCAATGCCCTAACAAAAAGATAATGTTATTGCAAGTTGATGGCAAGATAGAGAGTGTTAGTGAGTATAATAGTGATGATGATAATAGAACATCACTAGATGATTGTGAAGACAGTTTAGCAGCCTCAGTGCAGGATGAGATATTGGTTGTCTGGAAAACCATGAATATGCAATCTAAGGAGACAGACAACGATTAAATAGAGAACATTTTCCACACCAAAGGTCATGTGAATGGGAAGGTAGACAATTTGATCATAGATGGAGATAATTGCACCAATATCGTCAACACTTTTCTAATTGACAAGTTAGGTTTGTCATATATTAAACATCCTAACTGTATAGATTACATTGGCTTAATGAATATGAAGAAGTCAGGGTACACAAGCAAGTCAAGATTCCCTATTCCATATTTAAGTATAAAGATGACATATGTAGTGATGTTGTTC